AAATTAATTACAAATATTATAATTAATAAAACGGGCATAATTTAGATATATATTTAATAATTAATAAAAAATAAGTATCTATCAATTAACCAATCTACACATCCTCTTTTTAAAGTCTTGCATCAACATATATCTTCAGCATATCCCTCCTCCTTTTTGCTACAGACTTCCGATCAATTCTCTTCTCCAAACTATTCAAACAAAGATGGGTGAATCCATCCTTGGCTCCGTCGTAGCAGCCGCTGTGTCGAGGGTGTTTGCTGTTGCTTCTGATCTGCTGACTGCTTTTGCTTCTGATCTGTTTTCTGATCGGGTCAATGTAGCACTGGGATGGGAAGAGGAGCTGGAAAAATTTCATGGGTCAATGATGAGGCTCCGAAGTTTCTTGCAAGATGCTCACGAAAAGAATGTCAGTGGCCACCTTGATCTGAAGTCGTGGCTCCAGGAACTTCGAGATATTGCAGATGAGGCTGATGATATACTGGAGGAGGTCGCTTATGAAGGTATGCAGCGGGAAGTTAACAAATCAAAGGTCAGGCACTTAACTCTGCCTGACCCCTTGCCCTTGCTATTTGGCCAGGGAATGGCTAATAGAGTTGCGGATTTGAATAAAAGACTTGCTGATATCAATTCCTCGGCTCATCAGTTGGGACTGCAACACAAACTTGCAAACATGCTTCCTGAATCCAGAGGCAGGGCAGGCCGAGAGACCCACTCTTTTCTTTCATCTCGAGTTTATGGAAGAGAGGAAGATGTCTCTAAAATAGTCAGGTTGTTGGTTGACTCAAGTAGTCAGCATGACCTTCCTGTCATGATTATGGTGGGTATGGCAGGCCTTGGCAAAACCACTATAGCAAAAGCAGTGCTTAAAAATGATAAAATACGAGAACATTTTGGTGATAATAAAATGTGGGTTTGTGTGTCTGAAAATTTTGATGTCAAAATGATTTTAATGGAGATATTGAAGTCTTGTGGTGGAAGTAGTAGTGGTGATGGTGATTTTGGAAGCAAAGATATAGTGATGAAGAAAATACAAGAGAAGTTGGGGGAGAAAAATTATCTTCTCATACTAGATGATGTCTGGAATGAGGAGAGAGAGAGGTGGGAGGATTTAAGGGATTGCTTGTTGGGAATAAGTGGAAGTAAGGGGAGTAGGGGTAAGGTGCTTGTAACAACCCGGCTTGAAGATGTTGCATCAGTAATGGCACTTACTGATGAACACATCCATCGTCCTCGGCAATTAAATGAAGATGAGTGCTGGAGTATAATCAAGCAGAGAGCATTTGGAGACAATTCAGTAACTGAGGGGTTAGAGGGAATTGGAAAACAGATTGCTAAAAGGTGTAAAGGCATTCCACTAGTTGCAAGTATTATAGGGGCTATTTTGCAGAAAAAGAGGGACAAAAGGGAGTGGCAGGCAATTACAGAGAATTGTGTTTGGGATTCACTGGAAAAGCAGGAGGGGATCTTGGATATTGTAAAATTCAGCTATGATCGCTTGCCCACACTGGCTTTGAGGCAATGTTTTGCATTTTGTTCCATTTTTCCTAAGGATTTTGTCATGAGAAGGAAGATGCTAATTCAACTTTGGATGGCTCAAGGATTTCTTGAATCACCTGAAGAAATTAGTAATATGGCAGCAGAAGATATTGGTGACAAGTATTTCAGATATTTGTTATCATATTCCCTATTTCAAGAGGAATGGAGGGATGATGTAACTGGGAGTGTTGAATCTTGTAAGATGCATGATTTGATTCATGATTTTGCCCAATCAATTTCAAAATCTGAGACGTTGATTGTTGAGGAGCGGTCTGGTAGCAATATTTCTCATGATGTTAGGCATTTGAATCTAATTGATGGGAGGGAAATGGTGCCATCTATTTTAGAAGATGTTGCTATAAAGTTGCAGACATTGTTTTCCAAGCATAGTTTTTCTAATGGTGTGCAAGTGGATCTTATGAGGTTACGAGTTCTCAGCCTTGAAGATGCTTGTGATACAAAACAATTGCCGACGTGCTTTGGCAACTTGAAGAGGTTGAGGTACTTGGACATTTCAGGAACTCAAATAGAAGAACTGCCGGAATTCGTCTCCGAGTTGTACAATCTACAAACATTTAGATTCGCGAACTGCAGATCTCTTAAAATGCCCCCAAGAGGAATGGGAGATTTAATCAACTTGAAGCATATTTATTTCAGTGATGAAGAGCGTATGCCTGCAAACCTTGGGAGACTAACCAACCTACAAACATTGCCATTATTTTTTGTAGGTACAACAGAAGGACGTAAAATTGAAGAATTGGGAAGCTTAAGAGAACTCAAAGGAAGACTAGAGATCTGTAAGCTTGAGCTTGTTGCAAGCAAAGCGGAAGCAGAGGGAGCAAAGTTAAAAGACAAGGCAATCAAGGATTTGGAATTTCATTGGTCGGGAGGTGAAGGCAATCAAGATAAAGATGAAGATGTCTTAGAAGGCCTCCAACCCCACTCAAATATAACAAGATTACATATTGCTGGCTATGGAGGTAGAAAGTTGGCATCATGGATGTTGTCGCTCAACAATTTGGTGGTTCTGACAATTGGCAATTGCAAGATGCTTCACAGAATTCCAGCTATTAGTGGGCTTCTATCTCTTCAGCGGCTCCATGTTTACTGGTGTGATGAAGTAACTAGTTTGGGTGATGGTGATGGGGCATTTACGTCTCTCAAACAATTATCCATATTCGACTGCGGTAAGTTAGAGAGAGTTTTGGTTAGTGTGAAAAATAGCATAGGAGATTGCCTATCAAGCTCCACGTGTCTCAAACAGTTATATTTGGACAGTTGTCCTAAATTGAAGTTTATTTCGAGTCTAGAAGGACTTGTCTCTCTCAAAACAGTAATTATTATCAAATGTCATGAATTAGAGCGTCTACCGAGTGGGCTCTCATCTTGCACTGCTCTGGAGAAATTGGAGATAAGGGAATGCTCTAATTTGGTTTCTATTCCTAAAGAATTGAAACAGCTGCAGCATCTTGTTGAGTTGGTTTTTGAAAATTGTCCAAAATTGAAGTTTATTCCAAGGCTAGAAGGACTTGTCTCTCTCAAAACAGTAATTATTACCAAATGTCATGAATTAGAGCATCTACCGAGTGGGCTCTCATCTTGCACTGCTCTGGAGAAATTGGAGATAAGGGGATGCTCTAATTTGGTTTATATTCCTGAAGAATTGAAACAGTTGCAGTCTCTTGTTGAGTTGCAATTTTTGAGTTGCAGGAGATCTTGGGCTCCCTTGCCAGCCTACTCGCTATTTTGATTGAGGGAGACCAATGGAGAGGGATGGGGAGTGAAGGGGACGGATGGTAATTGAGGGAGAGGGAGGGGAGGTTGTCTCCTTCCTTATTTTTGGATATGCAAAGAGCAAGAAGGGGAAGGAGATGGAGGAGGTTTGGATCCCCTCAACAACCCCTTGCAACTGTAGATGTCCAATCCCCCCAATTTGGGGAGTTTGGGACGGATTTGGCGAAGGTTCAGATTTTGCCAATAAAAATTACCGTAATATCCTCTTTACTTACATTATTTAACACCTTCTGGTTCTTCTTCCACCTTAGTTATTAGCATCAGCAGCCACTATTCAAGGTAAGGATATACCTGCTCAACGTCAATTTTAATTATTTTTGAGCTTTCACCATTCTCTCACCGGCTTCGACCATTTTTAATTTACAGTATAGCATCGTAATTGAAAATGAAGTTGAATTAGAAAATGGAATTGCTAGCATTCTAGCTCACCGACTGCTCTTGCTCTCTCTTTTGAAAATGAAAACAAGGAATTATAAGAATTTGATTCACAGGTATTTATCTCATTTTTGTTTCTTGTTTTCAATTATATTTCCCTTTAATTTCCTCTATGACAGTTGATTAGAAAATGTTATTTTGTTTCATATTCACCGTTTAACTCTGTGATCCTTCCATTAGAGGTTTGTTTTGTTTTCTATGTGATTGGATTGTGTTTTGGCTCCACAATATTCTATACACCTAAATCTTCCCAATGCACACCTATTGTTTGATGAAATGCATGAGTGAACTGGTGCTTAGGGAGAGAAAAGAAAATGATGAAATTGCCATTTTGTTTGTGTCGGCAATTTAGCAGCTTTTGAAATTGCACAATTAGGACTATGTTTTGCTTGATTTATTTGGAAATCAAGTTTTTTTTTTACCATCCTAAATGTTTTTGAAAAAATATCATAAATAAATATCATCATAAACTATTAATCAAGCAAAACCAAAACACATTGATTTTGTTTTTTTTTTTTTTTTTGAACAGTAAAAAATAATATTTGTTGAAATACGGAGTATAAGAGGTACCCTAAACCCATAGACATCCCAATTTGAAGGCA